AAGCTATCTATTTGTCATGCTAGCTACCTGTCATAGCTATATGTCAAAGCAGCTAGCTCATTTAGTTCCAGTACTACGGAAGTTTCTTGTTAAACTTCCTTTGATTAATGATTAAAATGAATAGTATTATTTATTAAAAATATATATCGGGTATTTTTTTCGGGTTTATTTGAATTATCTTTATGAGAATTATGGTAAGGTGCTATAAAGAAGTATTATTATGAAAATAAAAGTAAGGGAGTCATTGCAACATTATAAGGAATTATTGCAAGGAGTCGTTGTAAGGAGTTATTGCAAGGAATTATTGAAATTAGAGCCATGGAGTTATTGCAAGGAGTTATGTGGGCGGAAGTTATGTTCGTTTGTACGAAATTGTATATTTTGTTATAAAGAATTATATTTATTAAATTATTTTATTTGATTATTTTTTTTATTAGATAGAAATAAAATTACAAAATACTATTTGTTTTTAAAAATATATATTTTTTAAACTCGATTATTGAATAAAAACAAATTATTTGATATATTAAATAATAATTTATATAGGGTGGATTTTTTATTTATTTATTTTTTTAATATTTAATAAAATAAATTTAATTTTAAAATATATAATTAATATTCAATTTTTTTAAATTAATGGTAATATCCTAAAATAAAAAAAAAAATAAAAATATATAGAAATAATAAATAAATAAAAGAATTAATGAATAAATACAAAACAATGTATTTAAAAATATTTTGATAATTAAAATTAAATAAAAAAATAATTTATTTAAATATATATTTTTTAATTATATTTTTTTTTTTAATTAAATTATAATATTTTTAAAAAAAGATTTTAATATATATATTTGATTTTTAGATTAAATTCTTATATTTATTTAATAATATATTTTATGTTTATATTATTTCGAATAATTCGATAATTATATTCTGAACCATTTTTTTTTAATATTTCGAAGATATATAGATAGTTTAGACCTTGGTGCTGTAACGCTGTTTAGACCTTGGTGCTGTAACGCTTATGGGCCGGGCTTTGCCAGGCCTCGCCTGACTCATATCTTAACAGGCCCCGGTTTGTCCGATAGTCCCTCACTAGCCCCGGTTCTTTTTTTGACCCAAGGAAAGATATGGATAAGACCGATGAGAAGGAAATGTAAGGGACCAAAATGCTGAGAATTATAAAAATTCTAGTTCTCGGAAACTAAACCCAAACACAAGGCCAACAGCAAGAAGCAAACAACAAGCAAACGAGAATCAAACCGCACCAAAATCCCAACACAACAGCAGGGTAAGAAGTAATGTCGTCGAGAGATTCGTAAATAGTGCAAATATCATTACTAACATTCAAGGACCATTATAAAAGACTCTATCATCCATAGAATAAGAGAAACACCCCTGAATTCCTCTTGCCATGAGTCTCTCTCTCTCTCTCTCTCTCTTTCTCTCTCTCTCTTTTTCTCTCTCTCTCTCTCTCTCTCTCTCTCTCTCTCTCTCTTTCTTTCTCTGTAGGGACATCCTTTTTTCTCTAATTTTTCTTTCTCTTTCTTTTTTTTCGTTATTTTTCTATTTTTTTTCTTTATTTTGGTTTTCTCTTTTTTTTATTGTTGTTTTTTAAATAAATAAATAATATTTTTCTCTATTTCCCTCTGTTTTTTTCTTATTCTTTTTTTCTCTCTTTTTTTATTTCTTTCTCTTTCTCTCTCTTTCCTTCTTCTTTGATTTGTTTATTGGTATTATCGTTGATGGAATTAATGGGTTTTCTCTAATTCTAGAAATTTTGGAAAAACAAAAATATTATTGAAATATTCCCATTTAAAACAAATAGAAAAAACAACAAATTATAAACACATTTACCTACTTTACCACCATATTTGTCTCTTTTGATGGCCTGAGCATAGGAGGTAAACAAAGAACTAAACCCTAGGACCGTAGCATACATGTTTGAACAAATCTTCTGCTTCTTCTGCTTCTTCTAAATCTTCTTGCAACTCATGGCTAACGGATGCTGACGAGCAACAAAGAGGAATGATTTATCGATCTCTGTCAACCGGCATTAATCTCAACTTTGTATCATGCCAAATCATGTCTGTGCTACTTTACTGCCGACTTCTCACAAACAAACGGTGCTATACGACTTGCCCTTGCAGATTTGCAGGAGCCTCCAAGCACGATAGCTGCCGAATCAAGCTTGTCTCAAACTACTAAACCTTAAAAAGAAGGATAATTCAAAAAATGTACGAGAGCACCACATTTTTTACTAGAGCAGAACGTAAGGGAAATTAACCAACATTTGGTGAAAAAAATAATTCAACAGCCAGAATGACAAATGATTAAGTAAATCCTGCTAGACAACCAAATCCATATCGCAATAACTTATTTCTGGCATACTTGCTTGCACGTTGTGTTTAACACCATGGGCCCCTCCTGCCCTAAATGTATTTCTGACCTAAGCAAGCAACAGGCTTAGAAGAAGAATAACAAGATTAAGGCATTAAAAACCATTTCAAGAATAAATTATTTATGTAATAAATCGATTTATAAAATTATTCTAAACTTAAATTTTTAAAAATATTATTATATTTTAAATAGACATTTTGAAAAATAAAAAACTAAATATTTTTAAATAATATAATTGAAGGAAACAAATAATATTAGAAAATATATTTTGTATATATTGATGGAATTAAACAAAAAAAAATATATTAATATTATTGATATTAATAAATATAGATTTAAAAAAAAATCAAAATTATTTAATATTTATATTTGTTTTTTCGATTCTTTAAACAAATTAAAAAAAAAAATAAAAAATAAAAAACATAATTCGATATAATTTTTCTCATTCAATATAATCTATATAATAATATTATTAAATTAATTCGAGGAACAAAAATACATATATAATTTATAAAAAATAATCGATTTGTATTTTAAAGAAATTAATCAACAACTAAAAACATATAGTATATTTTATATACTCTTGGTTTAAACTATATTAATATTTGAAAATGGATTTTTAAAATTAATCTATATTTTAGATATAATTATTTTGAATTTATATAATGATATTTTAAATATAATTAATAATAGAAGGCAATATTTATTAAAAAAAATAAAAAATGAATTTACAATAATTATAATATTTTAATAGTAAAAACCATATAATGTTAAATTTATTAATTATAAAAATTTACTAAACATACATTTTGTATTTTTTTAAAATATAATAATAAATCAAATAAATAAACAATTAAATATTTATTAATTAAACTAATTAGACAAAACTTATTTTAAAATATGTAAATTTATATTTTTTTAAGTTATTTTTTTTTATTTTTGGATAACAATAATCTTAAAATATTCTTAAATAAATTAAAAATTATATATTTAATCAACATTTTAAAACAATATAAATTAATAATAACAATATTTAATTAATTATAATAAATAAATAACATTTTATAAATATAAATAAACTTAATTAATAATCAAAAATAATAATAAATTATCAATATTTTAAAATAAATTAAAAAGAAATATATAAATCTACTTAATTAAATATTTTTTTTAAATTGTGTTTATAAATCAATGTAATTAAATTAAAAAAACAATATAAATATTAAATTAAAAAAATATATAAGCAAAATTGTCGATTTTCTATCTTACAATATATTCAATATTAAATACAAAACTAAATTAAATCAATCATTAAATTTATATTCCTAAATTTCGTATGTAATATATATATATATATTATATTACATTATATACATACCATATATAAATTAAATTCATCAACATAAATCGATTATACAATATAATCAAACCAATCACAAAAATATAAACACCTATTAAGCAAAATCGCCTCCAAAACAAAAAATACAAATACACCAATACAAACGTGTAATTACCTTACAATTGCCAACACAATACGCTCTCACAACGTAAAACAATTTCAATCGCAATCACACCGACAACAACATATTACAATACAAATCGCAAATTTCATTCCTTCCAACAAAACAAGATCCCCGACCACTTACGAAGAATACATCTCGCAACAACAAAAAACCGTACACTACGCACGCGGAAAAAAAGAAGGCTTCATATCAATATAAATACATCTAGAAAATTCATTCAAATAAACCGATTGTGACCAATACACCGCAAAAGCCAAATGCACAACAACTCAAAACCAATAAGCACAAACTCACCAAAGAAGAGAAATGGCAAGCGAGCACCACACATTCAATACAATTTGTGAACAAACACATACATCAACAAACACACCAGTTAACAGCTATCAACTCAGTTTTCATCAAACTCTGAGACACATGCCGCCCAATCTTCTTGCAATATTGTTCCAGAAAAAACACGTCAGGCGCAGGGTTCGTAAACTACTCAAGAAAATATGGCATTTTGCAAACAACACGAGCAATCACGCATGTATCTCTGTATATTTCTCCTCCATGCATGAGTTCTGAGGTCTCAATTCTGCCCTGTGGCTCAGAGCTATGAATCTGATTCCTTAGTTGGCGCTGGCATGTGGCAGAAACATCATGGACCGTGGAAAGGCATTTGGGAAGTGAACCTGCCTTTGTCAGTGGCCCCCCCAGAGCCTGGACGTGGCGAGTGGCCTGGTCGGTCATTGTTGGCAATCGAACGGAGCCTCAGGTTCCTCTCCCCCACCTTTGGCAGGGAGGCAACTGACACCCAGTTCTCTTTAATTGTGTGGCTTTCCAACTATTTCTCGTGTTGCGATGGGGCCCTTTAATTCGGACCAGTCAGGAAATTGTACTTGCACGCCTGTGCAAAACAGTTCGGGCGAGCGTTGCCGGCCTTGTCTCATTTTTGAGGCAATGCCACCGGCAAAACCCAGCACTGCCCAACGGCAAGGATGACGCCTTGACGTGGTCCAACGGCGCAGATTCTTGTCTCCAGGATGGCCATCCAGCCCTATGGAAGCAACACTTCTCAGAGTCAGAGTCGCCAAAGCTGCCAAAAAACCGTTCTTGGCCATCCCGCAAGTACCAAGCGACCGTTGCAACTCACGGCATGGTCTGGGTGTTTGAACCGCGGGGCTGGAAGTATGAAGTTTGTTGCTTGCTGGAATTCCAAGTCAGTCAGACAATTTAGCGCCTGGCTGTTTGGACATTGGGTCAATCCAGCCGCAACAGTGCCTCGGCCGTCCCTCACTGCAATGCAGATGGAAGATGGACGCGTGCACCAAAAACCTTCACCAGGTCGTTGTTCATCTGCTGCAGCATCAACAACCTTGTTTGGCCCATGGCTTCCCAAGTGCGAAAGCTTGGTGGCCCGATGAAACTGGATTGACCAACTGCCATTCAGTAGCACCCCAAAAACCGCCCACTACAAACCAACACTAGAAGACGAAGCACTCCTTGATCACGAGCAACACACAAGCTACAGGGGTACTGTTGGTAAACTGCAGCGGTTAGCCTACACACGACCCGACATTGCCTACGCAGCACTAGAAGAAGTAGCACAAGACCTTCCAGCAACTATTTCTTCACAAATGACAAAAGCTTTACTACGCCACCTTCACGGCACTAAACACTACACAAACACCATCCCGACGCCTACGTCGATGGATGCCACGCTACCAGGAAATCAGCTTCAGGCTTCAACTGGAACAGCAGTGCTCTTGCCAGCAGATCACACGCCACAGCAAGAACTTCAAAAAGGAAACGCGCATGTGCAGCAAGCTCAACCTAGGCATACATACAGACCCCACAGCGGGCAACAGCTTGCTGCACGACAAGGCACCAGCAAACGAGCGCAACACATGGACCTCGATTTCTCTACAGCCAAGACCTCACACAAAACGATATCAACGCACTTGAGAACAGTCTATCTGGAGGCCACGGGCGGGCCCACGGGCCCACGGGACCGCCACAGGCCCACGGGCCCACGGGCCCATGGGCCCACAGGCCCACGCGGACCCGCCACGAGCCCACACGTGTGTGATGAAATGTAAGGTAACAAAATGAAATGTGATGTACTGTAATGCTATTTTATGCTACGTAGTGTGATGTAATGTAGTGCAGTGTGTTGTTTGCATGTATGCATGCATGCATGTACGTATGTATGTCATGTGTGCATGTATGTGTGTGTACTGCGTGTATGTTATGCATGTATGCAATGTGTGTGTGTGTGTGATATGTGCAAAGTATGTAGGTATGTACGTATGTAAATATGTATGTATATATGTATATATGTATATATGTATGCGTCTGTCTGTCTGTCTGTCTGTCTGTCTGTCTGTCTGTCTCTGTCTGTCTGTCTGTATGCGTGCATGTATATGTAGATATGTGTGTATCTATCTGTGTGTGTATGTTTGTCTGCCTTTCTGTCTGTCTTTCTGCCTTGTCTGTTTGTCTCTCTGTCCGTATTGTTTTTTGTACATGTGTGTGTGTAGGTATGTGTATGTGTGTGTACGTCCGTAGGCATGTGTACGTATGTGCGCATGTACGTCTGTATGCATGCATGCACGTTGACCATGATCACATGCAGCAACCCATATCATGAGCTAAGAATCTACCGCAAGCTGTCCTGGTAAACCTATTTCATCCGGATGGCCTTGTTGCATCGCTGCCCCCTCACGATGTTTGAGTTAACTTGTTGCGGTTTGCAAATCTCAAACACGGGCCTGTGATCCAGGGTGTCAGGCCAGATCCACGCTGCCCGGTGTGCACAGTTCTAGATCTGATCATATGCGTGCATGTATGTGCGTATGTATGGATGTATGTATGTAATGTGTGCATGTATGTATGTCTGTATGAAGGAATGTGTGTATGCATGTATGTATTAATGTAATATACTGTAATGTAATTTGATGTGATGTGATGCAATGTAATGTCGTGTTCTGTACGTATGCATGTGTGTACGTTAGTATGTATGTATGTAGGTATGTGTGTGTTTGTATATAGGTATGCACGTATGTATGTATGTATGTGTATGTGTACATGTGTATGTATATGTGTATGTATATGTATGTGTGTGTACTGTCTGTGTGTCTGTCTGTCTGTCTTTCTGTCTCTGTCTGTCTGTCTCTGTCTCTGTCTCTGTCTCTGTCTCTGTCTCTGTCTCTGTCTCTGTCTCTGTCTCTGTCTCTGTCTGTCTGTCATGTCTGTGTGTGTGTACGTATGTAGGTATGTAATGTAATATAATGTAATGTAATGTAATGTGATGTGCTGTGTTGTATGCATGCATGCATGCATGCATGTATGTATGTATGTATGTATGTATGTATGTATGTATGTATGTATGTATGTATGTAATGTGAGTGTGTGTATGCATGTGGTGGTGTACGTATGTTTGCGTGTATGTATGTGACTACGTGTGTTTGTGCGCATGTATGTATGCACGTACGTACGTATGTACGTATGTTTGTGTATGTGTATGTGTGTACATATGTTTGTGTGTATGTATGTGTTTGCGTGGGTTTGTACGCATGTATGTATGCATGTATGTATGTACGTACGTACGTATGTATATGTGTGTATGTGTGTGGATGCGTGTAAGCATGTGTGTGTGTGTATGATGTACGTGCGCGTGCGTGCGTGCGTGCGTGCGCGGGTGTGCATGAATGTGTGTGTGTGCGCGCACACGAGTGCGTGCGTGTGTGTGTCCATAAAGCTGTTACCTGTGTAGAGGTAAAGCTTTAGACAACCTCGGTCACATTAGTGTCATGTCGCACAGCATGCAAGCCCACGATAAAAGTACCACGCCACCTTTCAGCTTGGCCCCCTCGCTAACGCCCCGACATAAATGCACGCCGGGGCAATCCACTTTCCGCAGCTATCAAGCACGCAGGGTCTCGCCCTGCTTTTCGTAGACTGCTCAGCAATGGTCACCATAGCCCAGCGCCACGGGCCCACGGGCCCCCACAGACCCACGGGCCTGGCAGTTTGGCACTTGCTGAACGTGCAGTGCAGTGGCAAGGGCTGCAGTTTTGCAACCTTGCTAGTTTGGAAGACTTGCTTGGCAGAGGATTGAAAAACCTGCAGTTTTGCAGCCCTGCCAAGTCTGCTTTGCAACCACGGCCTGCAGTGTTGGACTCTGACAAATTGGCAAGCTGGCAAGTGTTGTGGCAACGTTGGCAGGCAAGGGTTAGTTTGGATGGCAGCTCCTTTACCATGGGCCCACAGGCCCACGAGCCCACGGGCCCGCCCACGAACCCGCCCACGGGCCCGCCACGAGCCCACGGGCCCACGGGCTCGCCACGGGCCCGGCCCCCACAGCAACCCAAGCCACGCAATTCACAGCAGTGCAGGCTTGTGCACCAAATAACCAAATACAACAGCGAAGAACAACAAATGAACGGTATGTGTTGAATATAAACTACGCTTTTGTCACTTGCACTTTTGGCGGCATGGCGGCTTGGACAATGCTGCAATTTGTTTTTTTTCACATGTCTGCCCACGCCTTTTGCCACTTTTGCACTTGCCCTGTTTCACGACATCTGGGCCATGGGTCTACACCCCAGGATTGCGTGCTGGCGGACCTGACTACAGCTGATCCTTCCAGAAGACGAAGTGGCAACGGCCACTATGCCACACCGCGCCTCGGCCTCCACTCCACTTGCGGCGGGCGACGCTACAGACACCTCAGCCTCGCGCAACAACTGCGAACAATAACTACTGGCAAACACTCAGCCACTTCCTCTCAACCACAACTTGTCACTACAACAACTCCACACTTCCCCTCCGGTACACATGCCGTGTCCGAAGGGATCAGGACTGGCCCTTGACCCTCATTACATTACGAGGATCAAACACGACACGGTCAAAGCAAGGCATTTGATCTGGACAAAGCAAGATCCAGGACTCCAGCAGCTCAAGTCCGTCAACCGAGCGAGCGCACTGACTCACTACGCTACGCTTTGCAAGAACTCCGGTAGAACTGGACCGTTGAGGGAGAAAATTCGAACTTCTCCTTTTTTGCGCTTCCAAGGTCTCCAACCAAACTGAAGGGGCGATTCAAAATACAGCAACATGTTGCTTGCATTGTGCGCAGGCCTTAGCTTGAGCTTTAAGACGGTACGCAAGCTTTCTGGAAAACAGGTACGCAGCAGACTACTGGTTTGATTGCTAGTCCAAGCAGAGAACAGCACTTACACTTGTCGAATTTGTCGGACTGATTTTAACGAGAGAGAGGACAAGGGAGAGAGAAAGAAAGAGAGGGAAAGAGAGAGAGAGAGAGAGAGAGAGGGAAGGGAAGCCAAACCAGAGTGCCAGAACTGATGTCGTACATTTCTTCCCCAACTCCTGGGCATTTTGGCGAAACAACTGCGGTTTGCATTCGTCCAACTAAGACTGGAACGGATCAATCAAAGAACGTCTCTCGCAACCAGCGCTACAGAACGAAGCCTGGTGCCCGGCCACTTAAACAGGATTGCCTCGCAGCTAGGCTGGTGAGGGCAGGGCCCTATCACGTCACAGCGAAAGCCGCAAGAAAGAAACAACACCATTCCCAAACAAAGCCCGTGTCCTTACATGGGCTACATGCTGGTCCGAGCAGCCCAACAAAATGTACCAAGCCGAGTCGCTCCTCCACAGACGAGCCCCATAACCTCCGACTCTGCACCACCAGCTTGTCTTCGAGAGTGAAGGTGGTGACGCGCAGTTGGCAAAGCTGATTGCCCATGTTTACCTCAACTCGCAACATGACAAAATCAAATAGGTGGCGTTGACTGAGCTCGTGACATGTCCTCTATTGAGCACCGCTCACTTCGCAGTGCCCAAACAAAGCTTAGAAGGAACTTCGGACAAAAACATAAAAAAAGGTAGTCTTGCCCACGGATGAAACAAAGAAGGGATGCATGCGCGTGGCGGGGAATAGAAACTGCGAAAACAACTGAACCTCTGCGGGTTTTAGCGTCTCCGGCACGAACTCGGAAACTTGAAGCGCGGATTCAGAAACTTGGAACATAACAGGATAGAATAGCACCATAGTTAGATGGCTAAGCTAGATAGAGAGATAGAGAGATAGATGGATAGATAGGTTAGATAGACAAATAGGTAGGTAGGTTGATAAATAGATAGATAGATAGATAGATAGATAGATAGATTAGATAGATAGATAGATAGATAGATAGATAGATAGATTAGATAGATTTGATATATATATATATATGGTCACCCCCCCCATGATCCACATTTTGCCTCTTGCAAGCAAAAAACACTAGAAAAAACACATGTAAAATGCTTGTTTTTGACCACCTGTTCCAGGATCAGATTCTGATCCTGGAAACTTGGGTCAAAAACAAGCATCATTCTTGATGAGTAGATTAGTCAAAGATTGCGACATTCTTGATGGACAGATGTTAGGCAACTTGAAGCAGATGCTTACAGATGGTTTGTGTGGACAGCCTTCTGGAAAAAAAGTTAGCAGGGAGCAGATGGAACTTATGGAAGCAGCATGCAGAAAGTGCTGTACTGTCCCTAAAATCCAGGCTTTGGAGGCTGAAAGTGCTGTACTGTCCCTAAAAAACCTAAAAAACCTTGGGCACACAAACCTCCTTCTGGCAAGGAATTTTTGGTTTTTTAGGGACAGTACAGCACTTTTTTTGGTTTTTTAGGGACAGTACAGCACTTTTTTTGGTTTTTTAGGGACAGTACAGCACTTTTTTTGGTTTTTTAGGGACAGTACAGCACTTTTTTTGGTTTTTTAGGGACAGTACAGCACTTTTTTGGTTTTTTTGGGACAGTACAGCACTTTTGAGCATCAGCATGCAGAAAGTGCTGTACTGTCCCTAAAATCCAGGCTTTGGAGGCTGAAAGTGCTGTACTGTCCCTAAAAAACCTAAAAAACCATTCCAAAAACAGTCTTGGGCACACAAACCTCCTTCTGGCAAGGAATTTTTGGTTTTTTAGGGACAGTACAGCACTTTTTTGGGTTTTTTAAAAAGTGCTGTACTGTCCCTAAAAAACCAAAAAATCCTTGCCAGAAGGAGGTTTGTGTGCCCAAGACTGTTTTTGGAATGTTTTTTTTTAGGTTTTTTAGGGACAGTACAGCACTTTCAGCCTCCAAAGCCTGGATTTTAGGGACAGTACAGCACTTTCTGCATGCTGATGCTCAAAAGTGCTGTACTGTCCCTAAAAAACCAAAAAAAGTGCTGTACTGTCCCTAAAAAACCAAAAAATCCTTGCCAGAAGGAGGTTTGTGTGCTCAAGACTGTTTCTGGAATGGTTTTTTAGGTTGTAGGGGGCCTGGAAGTTCCCCTTCATGCGCACGGGCTCGGGTAGGTCGGCATACCGTTGTTGAAGGAACATTGTCTCTACCGCATTCAAGTCAATAGGCCCTTCGTGGTCAGCAATGACATCGAGGAACTGCGTCTTCTTTTTCACGGAGTCGGTGATTTCCATTTTAGCTGGCAAATCGCCTAGCTTAATGGAACCGGGCTCCTTGTTCACCACCACTGGCTTCTCCAGGTAAAGGATCTTCATGCCGTCGGTGTGGGCGATGGCTTCCTCCAATGTGCAGTTGCCGTCCAGGTTTGCGTTGTCGAAGGAACGAGCCAGCGACTCAGCACGATGAGGAGGCACAGATGCCATGATTGGAGCAGAAGGGAGTATCAGGAAGTTACCTCAAATTGAAATGGCTGCAGCAGAGTACACGGAAATTTGATGAGCTTGAGATGCAAGCAGTATGTTAATAGCCTCCATTGGGAGTTGGGCTAATAGTACTTCAGCCATTAGTTACACACTGCGGGGTCAAACTAAGGAGCCAGAGCTGAGACCACACACTGCAGCCATACCAAATGTGGATCATGGGGTTGGAATATCAGAAAGTTGCCCAGCTTTGCAATGGATGCAGTATAGCACAAGGAAACTTAATGAGCTTGATATGCAAGCAGACTCAGGCGTACATGGTCAGCAGGCTTTTTTTCCTTGCGGCTTGGAAAACTGAGAGAGTAAAAGCAGTCCTAAGGACTGTCCCATAAAAAACTATGGCAAATGCCTCTCACTCATAATCAAGCCAAGTTCATTCTCTTGGAGGACGGTCTCCTCGCTCGCGCTGATCTTGAAGTGCAAGCCTTCGAAGCTGAACACTTCCGATCCTTAGATGGGCAAGAGCAGAAATGACAGCAGAAGGACCCCATAAGAAACTGCAGTTTTCGACTCGATGAAATCGGCCAAGTAGCCACATGGTAGATAACCTACTTTTGTAGGCCATCTGGATGGAGCGATAGGGCTCGGCGTGGCGCTCGTTGCCATGGCTGTTATTATTTTAACAGCCTCCATTGGGAGACGGGCTAAGAGTACTTCAGCCATTCAAATTAAGGAGCCAAAGCTGAGACCATACACTGCAGCAATGCCAAATGTGGATCATGGGGGGGGGTGAGCATATATATATATATAAAAATATAGATATAGATATATATATAGATATAGATAGATAGATAAATATATAGATAGATACATAGATATAGATATAGATAAGTAGATAGGTAGGTAGGTAGGTAGGTAGATAGATAGATAGATAGATTAGATAGATAGATAGATATATAGATAGATTATATAGATAGATAGATAGATAGATAGATAGATAGATAGATAGATAGATAGATAGATAGATAGATAGATAGATAGATAGATAGATAGATAGATTAGATAGATAGATAGATAGATAGATTAGATAGATAGATAGATAGATATATATAGATAGATTAGATATATAGATAGATAGATAGATAGATAGATAGATAGATAGATAGATAGATAGATAGATAGATAGATAGATAGATAGATACATAGATAGATTAGATATATAGATAGATAGATAGATAGATAGATAGATAGATAGATAGATAGATAGATAGATAGATAGATAGTTAGCTAGCTAGGTAGGTAGGTAGGTAGATAGATTAGATGGATAGACACAGATAGATAGTTAAATAGCAAGCATGATAACCAGATAGACAAACAGCTTAGAAGCTAAGAAAGAAAGAAAGAAAGAAAGACACAAATAAACACATCAACATGTAGACAGACAAACAGATATAATTGATAGACAAATAGGTAACATGATAGAATAGCAAAACAGTGAGATGGCTAAGCTAGATAGAGAGATAGAGAGATAGATAGGAGATAGGTAGATAAGATAAGACAAGATCAGATAAGATAAGGTTGGATAAGGTTAGATTAGATGGATAGATACATAGGTAGATAGATAGATTAGATAGGTTAGATAGGCTAGATAGAAAGATAGATGGATATATTAGATAGGTTAGATGGTTAGACACATAGGTAAAAACAGAGAGGGAGCAACCGCAGGAGAGAAACAAGAAAGATAGATAGACCTCTAGTTCTTGCGCTTGGCAATGCTTGGCACTCGGAAAGACGAGGTTCAGCTTGCCCCAACTCCTACAACTTAGCGGCCAGAACACGCTGGGCCCAAACTCCAGCATACACAGCAGAAGCTGCAAACAGTAATGGTGTTCAACCAAGCCACCAAAAAGCAGCAGCCCTGACCCAACAAAACAACCCAAGCCGAAGCAAAACTCGCAAAGCCGCTGTGAACGCTGTAGAATTTGCAAAATTCAGGGAGTCCACGGCGTTGGACACACAATCCACCTTGTAGCCAGCAGATTTGAAGGCATCAGTGACCTGCGAGGTGAAGGCTGCAATCTCCTGGCATGGACTCTTGTGGAGGCTCTTCACAAAGGGCAAGCCTTAATGCGAAAAACAAATACAGTCTTTTTGCCCATCGGGTTCTTTGCCCCCTCCCTTTCACACAAACAGGAGGCACTTCAAAACGACACACACACACACATACAAACGAAACGGTGTTTACATCAAAAAAACACACTGACCGGGCACTTCAAGGAGCTGACAATTGAGCTTGTCTAGCTCAAGCATGTCTCAACTCACAACTCTGGTCTTCCCTGCGAAGCTCCAACGCCCCATCCTCCTTCAGGTCAGGCGCCCGCGGCGCAAAGGCGAAGTGCCGGGAGTTCATCTTGCCCACATCATGGACGATGGGCCGCCCCCCGAACTCCCAGGCATAGGCCATAGCCTGGCACTAACCAACGGCGCTTGGAGCAGCACGGGACTTGGAGGATCTGACTTCGGAACTTAACTTGAAGAGGTTTGAACAGCTGGTGTTTCGGCCCGCCTTGTACTGATCCAGGCTCATCTCCTGGGCACAGAAGACGCGGGCAGGGCTGCCATAAGCTTCCAGGGTTGTTGACTTCAAAAGCCAGCATATGCAGCTTCGCTGGTGACGAACCAACCGCTATGCAAGGCACCTACGGCAAGGACCAAGAACGGAGAAACAAATTCAATTCTGACCAGACTCCGCTCATTTGTCGGGACATAAGGGTGTAAGGTTCATTGATCCAACAGTTGCAGTCAACAAGCCCGCCCCGCAGTGCGAAATCAGTTGAAAAGGCTGTGTAAGCCCGTCACAGACCTGGCACAGAGGGGAGCTTATTAATATTTCCACCTCATGTCCATCGTTCTGCTGAAAAACCAAAGCACGGATCCCAGGAAAGAATGGGGGATGTGCCGCTGGAAAAGGAACAGCTGAGGGAAAATTATGATCAGGACAGGGCAAGCTCGGGTCAATTGGTTGCAGACATTTGTTGGTCATTTGCGATCCTGTTTTCATGCTTGCACAGGTGACTGGAATAATGAGGCTTGACAACTTGACGGTGTTCCTGCTTGGGTTTCTTGTTGGGCAGCCAGCGCGCAAAAAGAGCAACGGCTGACGAAGCAAGGCAGAGGCGGGAGAAGCTTGAAAGCCAGTGGGCATCGAGCAAATGCAAAGCTCCCTGCTAGGGGCAGGAGCGCATGTTCTTCCGATGGACGCTCCGGACAGTGCCTGTTCCAGTACAAATTGTGAAGGTGGTCGGTAACGGATATGTTCCAGGGGTACCTCTGCCACGCGAACACGCTTGAGCTACAAACTCAGTCCTTGCACTCTTTGGTCATGTAGCGGTTCATCAGGTCAGCAACGCTCTCGTCTGTGATCAGCCTTTGATGAACATACCCTTTGTCGAATGCACGCACCGTTGGCAGGATGAGAAGAAACACAAAGTGCCTCATGCCCATTCGAGCCCATCAAAACGCCGGGTGCTTCAAGTGGCAAAGCAGAAACGTCCAATTGTGAACATCCTCACCCGAGTTTCGCTTTGAAAGAGGTCCATGACCTGGGTGTGTGAACTCATGCTCAAGACCAAGTTCTCCAGCAGAGTTGAGCCATGTTGAGCCCCCCGCGCAGCCAACCTCTGAACTAACCAATCAAACAAATAAGCCCAAGGAGCGTCCCCAACAACCCCTTCCGAATGTTTAGCTGGCCGAGCCTTGCCCACCCAGCTTGGAACATTCAGGTGCAGGTGAGCTCATCTTACCCGCATTTTTGGAAGAACTCCGCACCTGAGAATCGCGGATAATTGGGCATGCCTTCTTTGACTTCCTTTTAACACTCCAAAAAGGGGGTGTCCAAGACGCCGGTTGTTCATCTGCAGGGACCTGGCCAACTCCTCCGCCGACAAAGTCCCCGAGCCACACAAGTTGGCGGCCCGGAAGGCGAGCTGGCGAGCGATTTTGCTTTGGACGGGAAAACGCGCAACCCAAAGAAGCAACGTAAACAAAGCAGGAGTTTGAGGGCTTGGAGAAACCCAGGGGTTCAAATCCTGCTTACACTTTCATTTTGAAATCCACTGCTGAGCTTCAGAGGCTGAAGACATGCATCACTTTGCACGATCAGGGCTTCTCTGTTTCCCCTGGGGTCGAGCCGGCGTTTGATGTCGCCAGCTTGGCAGCCCAAGAATACCAAACATGGCTCCGATAGCCCAGGAACAAATCTCAAGAGGGATACCTCCCATCGCTTCGCTGACGACTCCCACCCCGAATGGCGCATCCTGCCTCATGGCTCTCAAAGCCGCGATTGTAGAGCGCCAAAGCCTGCCGAAGCCAAGGCACATGTCAGCTGCCCTACTGCTTCAACAGGTTGACAAGTCGCCGTTTGCCATGCACATCCAACCATTCAAGATATTGCAAGGCATCCAACTCACGGGAAAACATCAATCAAGCTTCAAGTTCACTCCCAATTACGGCAAGTTTGAGTCATGAGTCAAGACAACCCAAAGTCGACCACCTCACCCTGGAAATGAAACTGCAAAGTATACATATTGATGTACATATATGTACATGTACACACTACATGCAATGTATTTGTGCAAAGGCAGCCTACCACTTCCCCTCTACCGCCCCAACTTGCCTCCACGACACCCGTGCACTTCAGAGAGAGGTTCGGCCGTCGCGCCCGGATCTCTCGGACATATTCCTCAGAGACAAGAGCGGAGCGGCAGTGTGTGTGTGTGTGTAGCTCTTTTGGTGGCGCTTCGTTACTCCGACGGCATTCTATGACCATGAAACAAGGCGTTGAGAGGAGGGCTCAGATTGACTTCAAGATTCAGTCCCTTCAAAAGGCTCTAGATTCTGCCAGTTTGAGAGCTGCTCAGTTTAGACTTGTGAGTCCCCACCTTCAAACAGCAACGCTTCGAATGGGGTTCTGCAATAAATCGCCGACGCCAGTCGAGCGTGTAGATGGCAGTCCGCAACTTGGTCTTCCTTCGGAATCTCTTATCAAAGCCGAAGGCTTTTGGGACTGCTATTTTTTGGGCATGCTGTGCTACGTGTCCAAAACCCTGTATTTTTCCAGTGTTTTTGGGTCTTTCGTGCTAGAAATCTGCGTTTCGCCTTGGTCTCTAGGGGGGGGGGGATTTCCCCCGGACGCGCAGGATCTGCATCCCCAGCATCATCAGGAATATCTTGTTGCCATGAATTTGTCTCTTTCTTTTGCAGATACTAGTGGCGTTTTGCTGTTTCAAGCGATGTTGGAATTGGCCTGTTAGGGGATTGGGTGAAGTCAAGTGCAGTGACACTTGAGGAACTGTTGAAATTTACAAAAAACGAGTTTTCTTGCAATTCCCCACCTGTACGGAGCAGCTACTGCGAAACATCCCTGCATTATCGTGCTTTTGGAAGTCCATTCTTAGGGTATTTGAGGGGGGTTGCTAGTATCGGTTTTTGATGGCTGCTTTTGGCAAATATTGGAAAACCTTGGTGTTTTGCACTTTTTTGTGGCTAGCCGGCTGCATTCCCAGCATTCCCCACAACTCTCGTATTTTCTGTGTTTGGTCAATGTCGCGTGTGTGAAAGTCTTAAAATCTTGAGCGTGAAGATTGGGTTTGTTCTTGTAAGTTGTGTGGCTGCATCATGCTGCATCCCTTGCATTTCCAGCATCCTCAGCATCTGGGACATGAAAAATGACCTAGGCAAAAAGACGTCTTTTTCCTGACCCCAAACTTGAGGCACCCTGCAGTTTGTTAATGGGGGACTGTCCACTGGCGTCGGCGGATCGCGTAGCGATTTCAATAAGGTTCTCTGATTTTCCACCCCACCGACGTGGCCACCTCCGTGCCCGCTTCGGGCTTTCTCCGGGCGGGTGGCCAGCGGTTTGGAGATCTGCCCAGAGAGCCACTCCAGCGCCGGGAAGGCCTCCAAGACCTGGCGGTTCGGGGTCTCGGTTGCGTCACTTGTTAATGAGGAACCCTGTCAACATCATGGGATTTATGTCAGGCCACTTAGGTGGTTCCCATTGAATTTCATCGCCACATGCCACGCGAATTCACTCAAGTTTACAGTGGGTTGATTCTAAAAAGAAGATTCCCCCAAAAGGACAAAGAGAGAGAGAGAGAGAGAGAGAGAGAGAGAGAGAGAAAGAGAGATAAATTCCACTGGACATTTACGGGCTCCATGCTGATCTGCAGGCGAGTCAACATGGAATATAGGATATAGATGAAATATGATCTCAGGAAGTTCTGGGAATTTCCCGGAGTTGTGACTTTGACTTTTGTAACTTATTACCAAGGCTGTGAGCCGGGACCGTGCCCTGCCGCACCCTCCCCAGCGCCTGCGTCAGCAGCCCCCAGCTACCCGTCCAGGAACGCCCAGGCCCCCCTGCGAGATCCTTTCCTCCCATCGCTGGAGCGATGAAACCGCACAGTTTGTCCACTCGCTTGCCCGGGCCTGCACCCGCTCCGTGCTAGATGACTTGCAAGGCTTTCGTGCCGCAGCACACCGCGCCCGGTCGTTGGCCCTCATTTCTTTTGCCGCCGAGCGTGCGTATGCCAACCGCCTTCTTGCCCTGCCCGTCAGGAGTGCAGCCATGTCTGTGCTCGTGTGCCCGGACGCTGGCCAGCTGGAAAAGGCGCGCATCCAAAAATAGAACACACGCTTATGTGGCAACAAGGAACACTTGTGTGTGCGCCGACAATGATAACGCTTACGCGCCAACAGTGAACACTATGCGGCCCGGCGATCTGGCAGCGCTGGGAGACAATGAAGGCACATACTGGGAGACAAGTGCATGCATGCATTGGCGGGCATCTGGCAGTACTGGGAGAGAAATGAAGGCACATACTGGGAGTTGAGTGACTGCGCACACTGGCGAGCATGGCAGCATGCGGCCCGTTCTTTAGAAGAGTAAGAACCCCAACAGTAAACTGTTTGGGGAACAACAAGCCGAGACCGAGGTAAGTAACCAAAGGTCAAGGGAGATCACTTGAGCCAGAAAACACAACTCGAGTCAATCAAGGATCAATCACGCAAGCAGGCAAACAGTACCGGCCCTGTGACATCAAAGTTTCACCATACAAGTATGGCCAACTGAAGCGAACTGAGTCCAGAATCCGCTTGGCCCGCCCGCCGCTGCCTCTGGATCTGCCCGCATTGCCGCTTGTAGTGTTTCGAAACTTGGGCGCTTCTCCGGGTCCTCAGGTTGGCAGCTTTCGTGGGAAAGGCAGTTGCTGAAAGGGCAACGGCAGTGTTTCGATGTGCTTCGAAGTGCTGCTCACTTCGTGAAAGCAAAAAGATTCGACACACTGCGCATCCCACTTAAGCCCAGGAACTTGGAACCCGCATGACAGGAAAACAAAACAGGTAAAGGATGTAAAGGGAAGCCAAGAAGAGATCCACGGAGGTCTCCCTTTGGACCAATCGAGTCCTTGGACCAGAGGCAGTTGATCAGCGCCTGCCGACTTCCGGGGGACACAAGTCTCTGGATGCGTCTGAGGTCTGAATGTGACTTTAAGGGTCGATATGTTGTCCCCCAGCTCACAAAGGATAGTGTGTTAGTTGGCGGCTTGGGGCCTGCAAGACATGACTTTCCGTCGGAAACGCAGAACGATTGCAGGTTTATCATGCTGCTTGAAGTGTTTGGACAGGCGGCTTGAATGCGAAGACTTGAGCCACATAGGCCGATTGGGGGGGCCCTCCTTTTTGCTTCCAAACTCGAATCACTCAAAGGGGCAAGAGTGCACAAGCAAACAACCCCTGTGACTGTACCGCGAAGAGAAAGAAAACCAACCCGCTGACAGCCAATGTCACACTGCGGGTTTGACCAGTGGGTGAGTGCTGCCTCCTGACAAAAGGGAACCCAACAGCTTGTGATTTTGACAGTGTGGCCTTATCGCCACATGTCCTGTTTATGAGCGGAAGTGCACAAGTATCCAAAAGGCGTCCAAGTCGAAACGCGGAGAGTCCGTCATTCCTTGCTCGTGAAAAGTTGGACCCTCTTGGAGAAGTGGGCGTGCCCAACGTGCAAACGAACTGGCATGGGCAAACTCTATACGGAAGACTTCATTGAGGTGAACCTGGCCGTTTTGAAAGGGACAGTTGAAGGGCTTTCCAGCCCAGGTGAACAACCTTAGATAACAGGCTCCAATGTGGCAGGTTGGCTTACGAGCCGGAACAAGGACGCCTGATATGCATCTTCGACGGCAAAAGTCATACACCCAGAAAGCATCTTGTGGTTGTCACTCTGCATTGCCAGTTGCCCAAACTGAGCAGAGCTCACTGTCCGTCCAGGTTCACGAACGGTTTCTTATGATTCTACAAACGTTCTCATCACCAACCAATGACTGGACTGCTCGCACACAGTCAAGTTCTTGCTTGGCGACTTCTCAGTCCCCTTCGGAGCGGCTTTCGGAGCTCGGAGCTTGCGGGTTGCGGGCTCAAGTATGAAAGGCAATGTTGGATCCTGGTTTTTTGCGGCCTTCGGCACATGGATACAGCTGCCCATATCTGCGAACACATTTTGAGGGTGCTTGCAATCTGCCTGCTAATCATTTGTCTTTGAATGGACCCTCCTGCAACTGCACATCGAACCCACGTATACAGGTTCTGAGCACTTCGCGTGAGATCCACGCGCACCTTTTGTGATTCCTTTTCCCTTGCCTAGTCTTTTGTTACCATTGAAAAAGTTTCCCGGCCTTGAGCTGGTCGGCTCCGCTGAACTGTGCGAACTCCTTCTGGGCCCACCAGGATGCGCTGGCGCCCTCGTCCGTCAACACCTTCAGACCTAACAAAACGCCACCAGCAGCCAGGCTGAAAGTCCTTTTGAATCCCTCCCACCCACAAAAATATCCTCTTAAAATGGGACAAGAGGTCGATGTTCAATCAAAGGGTAGCCTCCCGCCCTAAAACGGACTGCTGAAACCAGCGGGGAAGAGCAGCCTTTCTAGCAAATCTGTCTGGTGGAACTTCTCGACTGACTTGTGAAAAGGGACTGTATCAACCCCTCACATGCTTTTTCGCGGGAAGGGTGCGATTTGGTCTTAGATACTTATTACAACCTGCTTTGAAACACCCTGCTTTGGCGCAAAACCAAAGGTCAGGGGAGCTAACAAAGGCTAACTTTTTCCATTCCGTGTTTTGCTTGGGCTTGTGCCGTGTCTATGATGGTTCGCGTAGTCGATGTGTTGCTGGAACGCGCTATTGCCTTTGCACCCTGGCTGCTGGAACTGTTTCTAATATTCACCTTGATTGATGCGCAACACCAAATGCTGGTATGCGCCTTGCTGACGCCATAGTCTGCGCAAGCAGGGCGTGTGAGCAGCAACATGACGGGCGTCAGCCGCCAGATCCTATTTGAGGGCAGCGCGATGTAGGAAGTGCTCGAATGTGCCGGCGCAAGCGACCCACATGTGGAGCCGGGAACAAGGGGTGCATGTTCAAGGTGGGAGTTTTGGGGTCAGTGTCGCTTTCTTCTGAATATGTTTAGAGTGTGCTACTGTGTTCCAAAAATGGCCCGGACGAGGCGGGGCCCAAAATCGGGAATTTGTTAGCATTTTTCATTCCTATGGTGTATGACTCAACACGAACGCACAGCTCTCTCGCACTTCTTTTATAGCGGGTGCAATCCTTTGTCATGGTAAACCTCGAACTCCGAGGATTTGCCTTGGTATGCTCCAGTGAGCTAAGGTAGGGCACTGAGTGGGCCCCACTCAGGCCCCCTGTCAGCTTCCCCACTGCCATCCCGGCGTGTACAGCTGACAGGGTAAACACCCCCCTCCGATCAGCCACCCGATGCCTCCCGGCATACTGGCTGGCATGCCAAAAAGATATAGGGGGGGTAGCCTGGACAACCATCGCACAACCTCCCGGTGTGGGTTGCCAGACCACCGGGAGCCCTACCTCCGCGTCCCCTCTCTCTGTGACGCAAACCCAGCCCCAGCGGGGCCTCCAAGACAGGGGTTACTGGACGCCAGGCCACCGGTCAAGGGTGGGTCCTTTGAAAAAGACAGGGTGGGAGAAGAAAATACACTTAGCCAGTTTGGTTCAAGGCACTTGAGCCAAAATGGTAATTGTATAACACCATGAGGAATGATCAGTGTCTACCCAAGCCTACCAAACTCGAGACACAACCACATTCCTATGGTGTATGACTCAACACAAACGCGCAGCTCTCTCGCACTTCTTTTATAGCGGGTGCAATCCTTTGTCATGGTAAACCTCGAACTCCGAGGATTTGCCTTGGTGTGCAGTGAGCTAAGGTAGGGCACTGAGTGGGCCCCACTCAGGCCCCCTGTCAGCTTCCCCACTGCCATCCCGGCGTGTACAGCTGACAGGGTAAACACCCCAATGCACCACACTACCTAATCCCAAGGCACTCAAAGGAAATGCACAACCGAGATTCACGCTGGCAACGGGAGATGCCAAATGATCAGCGGCAGAGCGGTCGATTGTGTCGAGAAACCTCTGGAACGGTGCCGAGGGTCACGGGCACCTTCCCGGCTGATCGCATCAGCCCAGTTTGACTTCGATGGAATGTACTCCCAGTAGATCCAAGTTTGCAAGGAGAACAAGATCACGTGGATCAATTATCGATGAACCACACCCCCCTGCGATGGCGGAACTTGCCAGGCCGAGCCAGCAAGGCGAACAGGACCATGGAAAGCTCCAACTGGGCAATCTTGTGATCGCCAGGCGTCCACACCTGGTACAAAGCCGCCGGAATCTGGGCGACGAAGCCCTCACACAATTCCGCATGAGCATTACACCAGACAATCAGGAACCCTCCCCTTCGCCAGGCACTTCCAGTGCTGCATCTGACGCTGCGAAAAAGCGGGGGCATGCATGGTGCATCACTTCAAAAACTCGGCGTGGCTGCACCTGAAACACGGCTTCGAGCAGCTCGAAACTACGGCAAATTTCAGCGGTCAGGGTCGAGTGCCTCTCGTCCTGCCGCATCCGGATCGGGTGTAGGCCACCCGCCCCCACCTTACCGAACATGCCAAGTTCCAAGAAATTGGCCAGGCCGTACACCTTGGCGGCCGCCCCCAAATTGAGGCGCTGCGTGGAACGAGACGCCGCCATCCCCTGCAGCTTGCCGTGCAGCTTTGCCTTGGCCCAGAACTTCACGCGGCCATGGGAGAGAGCTTCAGACATGTCATGGTCCAACCCAAGGAAAACGCCTTGGGGCGCCATGGCCTGGCGCTTCTCTTCAGCAAAGGGGGGTTCCCAAAAGGACGTTCAGTTGCTCAAAGGCCCACTGTCCAGACCCCCTTGCTGAACGCCAGTCTGTCAAGCTCGCGTCGTCAAAATACATTGACACCAGCACAAAGACCAGCCTGCGCCCAAGGGACTCCACCAACCTGGAATACCGGTTGAAACTGGTGACCGCCAGGGGCAGCCCAAACAGGAGACCCGCATAAAGCTGGTAGGCTGGTTCTGCCCACAAATGGTGCCAGAAGACCACCACGCAGCCCAAGCACTTCTGTACCCGACATCGGCGAATGCCGATAGGCATCAGGCCAGTCCCCAGACTCCCAGGAATCAGCCGCAGCCGCCTCCCGGAGGTCGTCCGGGGCCATCTGTGCCACCACTGCTCGGATGTGCTGCGCAGGGCGCAGGGGCGTGCACAGAACCAATTTGAAAGAAATTTTGTGGCATTCGGGGGTTGGTTTTGAATCGGGGGTTGGCTGGCCGTTCTGACAAGCATGCTGTGAGATTGCGTTGAGCAACGCTGTGCCCCCCCAACCCCAGGTGCGCACACCGCGCGCTTCGCGTAAAGGCTGTCAGCGCCGCGTAAAGCTTGACTCTTAGTGTGGAGAGCGAACCGCTCTCCGTGGGCAGAGACGCAAGAAAGGGCTAGGTCTGGCGGCTGACTTGTTTGTTTTGTAAATTCTGAGCAAGTTGCGCCATCCATAGAAAGCTGGTGGGCCTTCTACTGGGCTGCTGCTGCTGCTGATGCGAGAATATCGCACGATCCATGTTGCCGGCAGCAAGTTTACTGGCACCAGCAAGGAAAGGGCAACAGGAGACTTTGGATAAACCGCAGACACATCACGAGCGTTTTGGTGCTTTGCCCGATTGCTTGCTTGTTTGCAGCTGTCGCCTGTGTTTGCTTGCTTGTTTGTGCCTGTCTGGTTCTTCAGTTTGTGTGTAGGGACAACAGCCATGAAAAAGCTCCGCCAGAATCTTTGTGATTGAAACAGTCAAGTGGCTGGCAACGACGTCGGGTTATAGCCGGTGCCTCTAGGTATAGCTTCAGATTAGACGCGAGCTGCGCGCATCTTCAAATTACTTAGCCTCCTTGCGCGCAAGCAGTTCTTCCATGAAACGGCGGATTCTCAGTCACGCCGCCGCCGCCTCTTCTTTTTCATTGTTGTCATGGTTGCGCGAGATGCTGCGAACATGCTACTATTGCTGTCACTGCTGTCGCTAGCCGTTGTTGCTGCTCCTGTTGTTGCTGTTGTTGGGCGGCGGCGGTGGTGGTAATGGTATAGTGGCGATGGCGGCGGCGGCGGCGGCGGGCGCGACTGCGGTCGAAGATGAAAAGTCGCTGATGTTGCTGCTGTTGGCTGCGGCTGACGCTGTTTTGGTTGTTGTTGCTGTTTCTCTCGCTGGCGTTGGGATGCTGTTGCTGATGTCGCTGCTGCTGTTCTTCTTCTTGCCCTTGTTCTTGTTGACACAGTTGCAGTTATCGTTGCTGCTGGCGCTGCCAGTGTTGTTGTCGTTGCCACTGCTGGCCAGCTGCTATTGCCGTTGTTGTTGCCGCTGCTTGTTTTTGTTGCTAACGGCTTCGCAGGCAGACGCGGCAGCTGCTGCTAGCCATCGGTTTCGCGGTTGCCGCGGTGGTTGCAGTTCGGGTTTGTCGCTGTCGGCGTTGTCGTTGTTGTTGCATGGCTGTTGGTTTTGCTGGCAGCGGCGCCGCTGGTGTTGTAGGTTATGCCCTCGCCATTGTCGTTGCTGTTGCTGCGGTTGTTGCTTCTTGCTACTGTTACCTTTGCGGTTGGTGTAGCTCTTGCTTGTGTTGCTGCTGCTAGTGATGCTTTGCTGTTGCTGCGGTTCTTGTCGTTGTTGCTGTTTCTATTGTCGTTTTAATTGTCACGACGGCTGCTGCTGCTGTTGTTGCTACTGCTGTTGCTGCTGCTCCTGATGTTGTCGTCGATGACGCTGATATTGGTATTCATGTTGGTGTTGGTGCCATTGCCGCTGTTTCTTCTTTTTTTTTCTGTTGCTGTTGCTGTTGCCATTGTCGTCGCTGCTTCTGCTGCTGCTGCTGCGGCGCTTGTTGCTGATTTGGTTGGGGTTGTGGTTCTGGCTGCGGTTTCTCCGGCTGTTCTCAACTTAGTAATTCTGCCTGTTGTTGCTGCTGCTAATCACAGGGGAACAGACTGCACCAGCCTGGCGTTGAAGAACATACAATCCTTTCAAAGATCACGCGCGCTTAGGCAAAAGAGGCGCGCTTAGGCAAAAGAGGGGCCTTGCCCTGAATCTGTGCTACAGTTGACAGGCGTCATAATTTCTTAAAGCACCGGGTTGACCGAAACGCGACCTTCGACAAATAATTGCTGGCTGGCTGGGGCCGTCAGCGCTGGAAACTATCGGCGAATCACGGTTCCTGAGCGCTGGTGGGCGAAATTGGCAATAAACTCAACATTGCTTATTTGTTTGAATCTCATATTTTTCAATCGACTACCAATAGGACCAATATCCGATTTTCCAAGCACCGACGTGAAAACCAAGCTATCGACAATCTAAATATTGTTGAGCAGTAGGCCCTTCAAATCACGC